ATGCAATGTACTACATAATCTCAATGTAAAAAATTGAGTGGGTATTTGTACTTGATATTTCTGAATTGGAGCCACACAAACATTTCTTGAGCCTCACAAACAATAAATGCAATGTACTACATAATCTCAATGTAAAGATTGAGTGGGTATTTTTAACCCTTGGTTAACCCAATTGATTCACCTTATAATTAATGCATCGTACTACCAAATCTTAATATTGAGATTGTGTGGGATTTTCAACCTAGGTTATTCTCTCCTTTATCCAATATAAATACCCAAGCAGGGGATGACCACAACATACCACAAACCAGTATTCAGCAACTGGATTTTTAAGTTCAAAAGTTCAAAACCAGGGCAATGGCAACCGCTTCATCAGCACAAGGGATGTGGTCCTTGCTCAAGGATATCGATCACACAAAGACGACCTGGGCAATCAAGGTTCGGGTAGTTAGGGCATACGAAGTTCCTCCACACTCTAAGGGAGGGGAGACTCTTGAAATGGTTTTGCATGACGCAGAGGTATGGTTTGTAAGATCTAACTTCTATGACGTCTTTTGCTCAACTTTTCTTAATCCAATGTAATTTCTTACTAGGGAGATCGGATTCACGCCATTATCAAGAGGCCGCAGATAGCAATGTATAAGCCTAATATTACAGAGAACAAAATTTATGCCATAAGAAACTTTTTGGTGCTTGACAATTACCAAACAGTGAAGACTACAAGTCATCCCTACATAATTCAGTTCATCTCAAAAACCCTGTTGAGGGAGGATACGAAGACGGAACTGCCTATGATGGTCTATGATTTTCAGCCTTTTGACATGCTGCATGCCCAAAGAGTTATCAACAACAAAACTCTAATTGGTGAGTTAGAGTCAAATTATTCCATACTACATTGCTTGCACAAATATCCTAATTACAGTTTCTATCGTTTAATTATGAAGATGTCATTGGGAAGGTTCTGTCCAAGAGCCTTATCCAGACCCACATAATCAACGGGAGGACTGATAGGCTAATGGAGTTGACTTTGACAGACCCGGAGTAAGTGTTTACAACTTAAACGATTTTAGCAAAACAAAAGACACATGCTCATTGACTGAAACTTTTCTAAACTACAGGGGTAACAGATTGGGTGCCGTATTGCGGAACAAGTACATAAACCAGTATCTGGATTATGTTAATGCTAATGAAGGAGTGATTTTGTCTTCGTGATATTTCAACTATGTAGGCCAAAAAGATACCAAGGTTTGAGAAACTTAGCAGCATTCATTATGTAGTTTACAGTAGCCAAAGCTTATGGTAGTGCTGTTTTAAACACAGGGATCTTGACTGTGAATTCGTCTTTTGATGTATCAAAGCTCATAATCAACGGGAACACTACTGAGTTTCTAGAGTTCCAAAGCGAGTATGCGTATTAAATCTCCTAAAACTAAACTTTGACTACCCAATTTCATAAAAAATCTCCTAAAACTCAAGTATCCTAGAACTAAAGTCTGTTTACCATGCAATACACAGGTTTCCAGCAGATGGTGATGACACCACGACTCAAACCTGCAACACGCAATGCTCACATGCGGAAGGGAGGGATGATATACTCGGTGGAAATGCTGTCATTACCACCATGGAGGATTTGATGAAGGCAACTGAGGTGTGTCCTGAAGCTAGAGTCATAGATTTCGCATTTTGAATAAATATACCCACTGCTAACAAGAAAATTATACTTGGATAGGAGAATGTTTATTGGGTACTTGCTGAGATAGTTTCTATAGAAAACTATCGAGAATGGTGCTACCTAAGTTGCCCAACATGCCACAAAAAATTGCAACCAGAAGAGGAACGATTTAGGTGTACAACTTGCAGCATGTCAATGGCAGAAGGAGTTTATCGGTTCATTACTTAACCTAATGTGCTTTTATGAGTGTAGGATGTTCACGTTTTTATTTTAGTAATAAAAAATGTTACTCTGATGATTCAACTACAAGGTCAGTGTGTGTATTATGGACAACACAGGGTATGGAAACTTCATGTTATGGGACAGGGAATGCATAGAAATTCTGGGTAAAACTTCAGCAAGTCTTAAAGCCGAGGTAGAGAAGGTAACACAATAATCCGTTAGCAGTGTTTACTTTATCAGACCTTCAATCAATTATGGATGGGCTAACCACATAACTCGGAAAACACAGAAAACCGGGGATCCAAGTCGCTTTCCGGAAGACATTGAAAGCTTGGTTGATATAAAGGGAATTTTCAAAATACAGCTAAGGAAGAAGAAAGGTGAGGAAAATGCCTATAATGATGGGATTTCTCTAGGGGTGGTTAGCATCATAAGAGATCCTAATGTTATCTCAATGTATGAGAAGAAAGAGCACTTGGAAACTAATGAAATTGATGAGAGTACACCAGAAAAGGTATTTAGAAAAATTATTAATTTGTGTATTTGGGCCTTGAAAAAATAAATATGACAACTAACTTAAAATCATTTTTTTTGCAGATTGGTTCAAATGCAAATTTAGGAGAAACCTCCATCAGAGAAAAATCAACTGTCAGTAAGGGCAAGGGGAAACGAATTTCGGCAGAAAAGGAGGTAAGCGATCGATTGTTAAGAGGTATATATTATTTTCGTTCAAAATTCTGTAGACGGTTCACTAAACAGCTATATTACTGCTAGGTTTCTGCACCAATTGAGCTTCCCGACACACCTACGGAATGTACCCAAAGGGAGGTCAATGTTGAATTAAATGAAGAGGTCAAAAGAAACTTGAATGATGAATTTTCAAGCACTGGGAATGGCAAGAAGCTGAAGATCAAAATCAAACAGGAACCGCTCTAGAGCGGGTTCAGTTCATGAATAACATTGATGATATTTTGTTGGCACCTACTATGGTGTTTATTGTTATTTGAAAACAGTTTCATGCACATGATGTATGCCTTCTCTTTTTGGGATAACTGAAAACTGTGTAACAGACCAATAAACCCTACTTTATGACTATTGTGTGGTGTGCTATTATGTTTTAACTATGTTTAGGATGTTTTGTATCTATATTGGGCAGTTTTGCAGGATTTCAGAGAAGGGATATTCCTAAACCATTTAGGGAAGTTTATGCTCCTAATATCTTTGTATTTTATAAACAGGCCATTGTTTTCACACTAACGCTTTACTAATGGTTTCCAGGATGATGAAAAAGTTTTGGGTTAAGAAAAATGCTACCAATGGTGTGAAGAATGGCTTAACTGCTAGACGAGGGCATGGGATGGTGTGAATAATGGCTTAACTGCTAGATTTACTATGAAACATGTAAATGTGTAAACTCTAAGAGGCATTACGTAAACAAGTAAATGTGTACTCTTATGATTTCAAAAGTGTAACATTTGGATTGGAAATTCTAATACAAGTGTATTACATTTAAAAATCTATGCAATATTCTTTGGTTGCAATTTGACAATTGTCAATTTGATCCAACAAGTTGCATAATTTTAAATAACCAAGTGAGGTAAAGAAGTTCATACCTTAGTCTTTTGCAGAATGGAGGGTTACCTGCAATCCCTATTTACTAAATAATATTACAAACCTTTTAAATTTTACATAAATGGCAACATTCTAAGGTCCCAGAACTATTCCTATTACAATTTTCTAGATAGCGTTTTTAAACCTGTTCAACCAGAAATTTACACCTGTCAAAACGTATTAAAAGAGTTATTATTATGATGAACACACTCTTGGATAAAAGTACAAATAAGTTTAAAAAAATGTCTGTTAGAAAGTAAAATTTTGGAATATTTTAGTACATAATGTTGCAATATCAAACATGAAGTAAATTTTATGTATTAAAGCTTATTCGAAATTGTTATTCAAAAATAAAAACTTGGTTAGCCATTGCTAAGAGTTATTATTATAAATCGATACACTTGGGAGTTGTGGTATCTTTGACAAAATTGGAAAATAGAAATCTGAAATTAAGTCCATTTTTTGTAAGGAAGTTTTTCGTAATGTGTAGTTTGTGAAGTCCTGTTACCGTTTACTTTTTCCAACTTATTCCAAATATACTTACTACTTATCTCTGAGTCTTTGTTATCCGATCTTTAATCATTATTTAGTATACGTGTTAAGTGTATGACAATTTGCTTTCGTTTCACTTAGCCAAATAGCATTTACAAATAATGTCGTATCACTATTACATTTTAATATTCCGCGCATCGCGCAAATATTAAAATGTAATAGTGATACGACATTATTTGTAAATGCTATTTGGGACTCCCCGGTTTAACTAGGACCTGAGCTACGGAAGAACATGTATTATTGGCATAAAATCGATGATTGGATTCAAAAAAGCATAAGATTCGGGCAATTTGCCGAATAAAAAACTATTTGAATAGAAGACAGAATTAAGAGAAGCAATTCTCCTTTGGTAGCAAAAGATTATCCATTAAACGGAGAAAATCCTAAAAAAATCCAATCTTGCAATGATTTTACCATGAATGAGTGCCAAGCTTTTTTTCATATGTTGTTTTCTTTGATTATTCTGGGGCTCTGCCAATTTTTATTCTTTCAACTGATATCACACTCATAGAAGCATAAGTACAATGTGCATTTTCTGAATCTTATTCTTCCTCACTTACTTTCTCTAAGAAGAAGGGAGTGAACAACTACAATGCGCCTATCACATAAATAGGTTTTTGAACACAGAAACAAAAGTGTATTTGTAATGTACAGAAACCAACTGTTAGCATGCAACCTACGATCTAATTTAACAGAGGATGATTATCAGTCACCCAATTCCATGCCATATGTATAAAAATATACTAAAATAAATTTGTGCAAATGTCATTTTTTAATTTATTTGGAGTACACATTGAAATTCCCATTATTTTTATACACTTGTTTTTTTTGTTGTTGTGATGGTAAAAAAAATTCAGGCCCAATTTGAAGAGGAAACTAGCAGAGGCAGCCCAGAACATTTAGGGGAAAGGGGCCATAGAAATCTTATCGTGCCATTTGTTTACAGCGAGAAAAGCGAGATGAGGATTGGTGGGCCCCGCTTACTCCCATCCCATTCCTTGACGAATCGTCTGAACCTTTTATTTTATCGCCCTCCCAGTTTACTTCTCTTGCAACCCTTTCTCCCGATTCCTAGACCAGTCGAAGAAGAAACCTTCTCTCACTTTTTCTGTTTTCTCCAGCCATGTCTCAGGTAATTACTGATTCTATGAATTCAAATCAATCAACAGTTGATTATCAATTAAATCTCATCGTTTTCGTTTTCCTGTACTATGATTAGTACTGGCTGAAGAATCAAATAGCTTACCTGGAGCTAGACTATTCAATTGGGCTATGACATGAATTAAACTAACATGGATTGATAGTAATAATCATTATAAGTTTGCTTCTAGTTTCGCTGGGTTATTATGTTCGAAGATTCTAAGTTTTAATAACTTTCTTTAGCTGATTGAAGTAAGATTTTGATTCCCCGTTTGACTTCTTGTTTTTTGGTTTGGTTTCAGGAAGATAAAAAATTGGTGACTCAAAAAGGTGGCCCGTGATCTCCTTCCCCCAATACTTCATATATGAGCTTAACTATATTTTTGTGTGTTCCATTGTTTAATAAAGTTGTCTTTGAAATCACGATAATTGATGGATTTGAATTGTTCTGTAATTCACTCAAAATGAGTAAATGATTTGGTGGGAATTAAGCATTCTGCTAAGGTGTTTGAAGTTTGAACATATACTGTTTTTCTCACTTTATATTATACAGCAACTGTTTGAACATACTCTTCAAAGATAAAAGCAAGCAAGCATTGCTAATTCCTCTGTATTAACGGTTTTTTATTAACCAAGAAGTGACTTTTATGTATTACTCTGTACATTATTGATACATAGTAACCATAATATGAGTCTGATGGATGATCATTTGAATCAATGGGAAAGAAAAGACTGAGATTATAAAATCCCGGTGAAAAAATAAATTGGAGGATAAAGTTTGTACTAATGAATAAGAGAATCTTGTATTCAGCTTACTTTATCTGTATGGTATGTTTGCTAATGGGTTTGGTATAACACTAGACTGGCTAGTCACTCAGTGCAAGTTATATTGCTCATTTGGTTGTGAGCTTAGTTTAGCGATCAAGTAATTCTTACTAAATTTTTCAGATGACAAATCTGGAGCAGCTGATAGTAAAGGGCTTTCGGAATCTGCTGCTTTACCTGGAATGCCCAATCCTTTTGATTTCTCAGCCATGTCTGGCCTTCTTAATGTAAACACTTGCTACCTAAATTTGTTTAACATAAATTTTCAGTTACTAATTTGCTCACTTCAAAGTATTACCCACAGTCACATTCTCTTTGTCTCATCATTTCTTTTTCTTCGTCCTCGTTAATATGTCCCATATCATATTTGGTAATAATTGTATATTCAAATTCATTCACTGTACAAACTCAATATCACCCACTTCCCCTAATATGCTTTCCACTTTCTCATGTCCAAAAGATAGTTAAATGAAGGTACTAACTTCTAATGCCACAATTTCATTATACTCGAGCAATAGTGTAGTATCACTGTCATGATGCAAGTTATCTTTTCAGAATTGATGATGTGGTTTCTTGTACTGTAGTGTACTGTTAGTGAGTAAATGAAATTGAATGTGGTGCTATTGTGCTAATATGTTTTGTTTTCTTAGTTCTTGTTAATGGAAAACCTCTATTCTATGTGACTATTTCTTCTTGAATGGTTGAAATGTAGGATCCAAGCATTAAAGAACTAGCTGAGCAGATAGCAAAAGACCCTTCGTTTAACCAGATGGCACAGCAACTTCAAGATACATTTCAACATGGTGCCGCTGAAGATGGAATCCCTCAATTTGATCCTCAGCAATACTATTCCACCATGCAGCAAGTTATGCAAAACCCTCAGTTTATGACAATGGCTGAGCGGCTTGGTAACGCACTGATGCAGGTTCATGGCCCTATATGTTTTCTAGATTTTTGATGCCACTGTTTTGTTATCAGGGAAGAAAAACTGACTTTTTTCATGAACTTTGCAGGACCCTTCCATGTCCAATATGCTTGATAATTTGTCAAATCCTGCACAGAAAGACCAACTTGAAGAACGAATGGCACGTGTCAGAGATGATCCTTCTCTGAAACCTATTCTCGAAGAAATAGAGCGTGGGGGACCAGCCGCAATGATGAGGTAATAGTCAGCGTCTTAATGCCAAGTAGCTTGGCTCAGTTGCATAAATTTTATAGTGCCAATTAAATGTATAGAATTAATTAACACTTTAAATTCATGAAAAAAACATAGCAGTGATGTTTCCTTGATGAATGCACTTCCTGTTGCTACCTTCGTAAGAAGGATCAGTGCGATAAAAATTCTAAAATTGTCATCATCATATGTTATTATGGTATTACCTAATACAGGGGCGGATTTAGCTTTGGCATCCAGGTGGGGCCAAAATTTAATTAAAAAATATGTATTCAAAAAAACATTTATTCTAGCAACAAGATCAAAGACAAAGATAAACATTATAGAAGTAAGAGTTTTCATTAAAGTCAAATACAAAAACAACATAATTTTACAAATGTTCTCTACGGGTTTTCATCGATTGATATCGTTTGATAATGACATCATTGTCAATTTTCAAGAAGATGTCTTTTTCTACATAAACAATAAGTCTATTATTAAACCAGTCATCACTCATCCAGTTGCTCAACCCTCATCCAGTTGCTCAACCTATCTTTCACGACGTTCATTGCTGAAAATACTCCTACAGAATACTTGAGAATCAAAACAGATGAATGTGTCATTCATGTTTGGGATAGCAATAGAATGTTGATCACAAAAAATACAAACCTCCTCAAACAATGAATCCAATCCGTCATCTCTTCATTACCTTTATTGAAAATTGAAGTTTTCTAAATATTATTTCCTTGAATTCATTTACAAGAAGTACATAAGCTATTTATACAGATAGGAATCCTGAGAGAGTCTATTCAGCACCCTAGGTGACTGTCTAAATACTAAACATAAATGATTGAGAACTGAAAAGACAGCAGCTATTAAATACAACCTGAAGCACTAAAGATACATAATTACAGTAATAATAAGGAAAATAAATCCTAGATTAATGATGTCTCTTCGTTTTATCAACACTCCCCCTCAAGCTAGGTTTGTAGATATCCGTCATGCCTAGCTTGACAATAAGACCCTGGAACCTAGGACTGTGCAGAGGTTTGGTAAACACATCTGCAACTTGATCTTCTGAGGGAGTGTAGCTTAGTTCGATCAGACCTCCTTCAACCTTTTCTTTGATAAAGTGCCTATCAATCTCAATATGCTTGGTCCGATCATGTTGGACTGGATTATGAGCTATGTTGATTGCTGATTTGTTATCACACCTCAATTCCATTGGTCCTTTCCACTTGATTCGTAAATCTAAGAGAATAATTCTGATCCATAGAAGTTCACATAAGCCATGGGCAAGAGCTCTTAGCTCAGATTCAGCAGATGATCGTGCCACAACATTCTGTTTTTTGCTTCTCCATGTCACGAGGTTTCCTGCTAGGAAAACCCTAGGAAAACACAGAGACCAGTAGTTGACCGGCGGTCAACGAGGGAGCCACCATAATCTGCATCAGTGAAGGCTTGGACTGATAATTGCCCACCCTTCCTGAATATTATCCCTTGCCCTGGACTTCCTTTTAGGTAGTGAAGAACCCTATAGGCTGCTTCTAGATGTGGTTTCCTTGGATCATGCATGAACTGACTCAAAACACTAACTGCATAGGCAATGTCAGGTCTAGTATGAGAGAGATAGATAAGTTTGCCACACAAGCGCTGATACATTGATGAATCAACCTTGGGTTCATCAGTAGCAAGTCCAAGCTTGTGATTAGGATCCATAGGTGCATTAACCGGTCGACAAGCACTCTTACCGGTCTCATTTAACAAATCTGTAATGTACTTTTGTTGGCTGATAAAGATGCCTTCAGATGAGCGAGCAACTTCAATTCCAAGAAAGTATTTTAGAGGGCCAAGAGACTTCATCTCGAATTTGGATTTCAGCTGCCCCTCAAGACGTTGTTTCTCAACTGGATCTTTACCCGTCACAATGATGTCATCCACATATACTAAAAGAATAGTGACTCCATTTGGGTGAGAGTGTTTGTAAAAAAGAGTATGATCCCCTTGGCTTTGACTATACCCAGCAGCAAGCAGCAAGAACAACCTGTGTGAAGCGGTCAAACCAAGCACGAGGGGATTGCTTGAGACCATAGAGGGCTTTTTTTAAATGACATACATGTGTAGAGGTTCTTGTTGATGTTTTATTAAAGCCTGGGGAATGTACATGTAGATCTCATCATGCTAGTCACCGTGGAGAAAAGCATTCTTGACATCAAATTGCAATAAAGGCCAATCAAAGTGAGATGCCAAGGATAGTAGGATACGGACAGTATTGAGCTTAGCTACAGGAGCAAAGGTCTCTTGATAGTCAATCCCATACGTCTGAGTGTATCCTTTAGCCACAAGACGAGCTTTGTACCGCTCAAGAGATCCATCAGCCTTGTATTTGACAGTAAAGATCCACCTGCAACCAACAACATGCCTCCCAGGAGGTTTAGTCACAATATCCCAAGTATGGTTCTTTTCAAGAGCTCTAATTTCCTCTTGCATAACATCCCTCCATTCTTTCTTTCCTAATGCCTCAGAAACAGAGTTGGGTATGGGAATTTCATTAAGTCTCTGAACAAACAAGGCATGTGAAGGAGAGAAGTTATCAATGGTAACAAAATTAGCAAGAGGGTATAGAGGTGTTTTGGTACATTGACGTACACCCTTGCGTAAAGCAATTGGCGGAGATGGTGGTGGAGAAGAAGAGACATTACCTGGGTCAGCCAATTGGTCATGCGTCAACAATGGAGTGAACCTGTTTTTCCTTGAGTACACTTTTGTCACTGGTAGAGGAGAAGATGGGTCATGAGTGGTGGATTTAGTAGGTGTAGGAATGGGATGGTCTGGTGGTGTATTTGATTGAGGTTCAGGTGATGTTGAAGACTGTTGGGAAGTAGATGAGGTTGCTGACACATCTAAGGAAGGTGATGGATGATCATGTGGTGGTGGTGGTGATGGGATGTCTGGTGATAAAGGCTTAGGAGGGTAGGAGATTGTATGTGGTGGAGAAGATGTAATAGTATAGGTGGGCAGAGGTGAAGGATGTGGAGTATCTTGGGATACAGGGAGAGAAGTAGGAGTGTAAAAAGGTGTGTCTTCGTGAAAGGTCACATCTGCACTGGTGTATGTCTTTCTGGTTGTAGGATTATAGCACTTATATCCTTTCTGAGTTGGAGAATAACCAAGAAAGATACACTTAATAGATCGTGGGTCCAATTTTCCCCTATGAGGTGGAGGAATATGAACAAATGCAGTACACCCAAACACTCTTAGATCAAGATCAGAAGAAATTCTGGTTTGAGGAAAGAAATGACGGAGAGATTCAAGGGGTGACTTATTTTGGAGTACCCGACTGGGAATTTTATTGATGAGATGACATGCTGTGAGTGTGGCTTCCCCCCAATAGTGTTTAGGCATATTTGATTGAAACAATAAAGCCCGACTGACGTCTAGGAGATGGCGATTTTTTCTTTCTGCTGTGCCATTCTGTTGTGGTGTGTACGGACAAGAGGACTCATGAACAATGCCTTTTGAGAGGAAATAAGAGGAAACTGTTTGATTGAAGTATTCAAGAGCATTATTAGTGCGGAAGCGTTTTATTGTGGCGGAGAACTGATTATGAATCATATTGCAAAAGATAGGAATGATGGAACTCACCTCACTCTTGTTTTTTAGCAGAAAAACCCACGTAAAACGTGTACAATCATCAATAAATGTAACATACCACCGGGCACCAGATATATTAGCAATTGGAGCAGGACCCCAGACATCACTATGTATAATATCAAAAGGAGAACAACTGATTGTATTACTTCTAGAAAAAGATACACGAGACTGTTTAGCAAGTTCACAGACATCACATTGAAATGTAGAAACATCAATACTACTAAAAAGACTGGGAAACATGGTTTTTAGGACATGAAAAGAGGGATGACCAAGACGCTTGTGGTGAAGCCAAATAGTGTTGGTATTGGCTGTGATTGTGGTAAGAGCTTTTTGTGGAGGTTTGGAGACAAACAGTGCATCAAGGTAGTACAGGCCATCTCTTTGTTTAGCAATTCCAATCGTCCTCCCCGTGTGTAGATCCTGTAATAAACAGTGGGAAGGGAAAAAAATGGCAGCACAATTAAGATCAACTGTGAGTTTGTAAATAGAAGCAAGGTTCATAGCCATGTTTGGGACATGTAGGGTGCTTTTCAGATTTAATTTTTCAGAAAAAACAACCGTACCAAGTCCCGCAACCTTTGTAGGTGTCCCATCAGCAGTAGTAATGTGCGTGGATGTAAAACATGGATGATAATTAGAGAGTAAAGAGGGTATGGCAGTCATATGAGATGTGGCACCCGAGTCTAATATCCATTGGGATTGTGAACTCTGTTCCGAAGCATTAAGACAAAAAATAGTAGAGGTTTTATCTTGCAGGGCCAAAGAGCTATGACCAGAACCATTTGAGTTATTAAGAGACTGTAACATCATACGAATTTGCTTTAATTCCTCCTGGGAAATGGGCCAAAGATTAGTAGAGCTCTCAACAATAGTGGGAGTGACTGAGTTGGCACGTCCAGCACTCATTCCACGTCTGTCTTGGCTTTTTCTTTCTTTCTGTAGATGAGGATAAAGTTTCCAGCATGTATCCACATTATGGTTGGACCGCTTGCAATGATCACACCATCTTCCTCCCTTACTACCCTTAGTTTCCTTAACATCTGAAGGAGTAGATTTGGCAGCAAGAGCTGTACTGTCAATCAGATTTGTATTCATCATTATATTGCGTCTGCTCTCTTCATGTTTGATAGTGGCAATGGCAGAAGATATGGAAGGCAGAGGAGTAATGCCAAGAATTTGACCCCGAGTCTGATCATATTCGGGATTTAAACCAGACAAGAAGCAATATAGACGTTGCTGATTTATATAGTTCTTGTGAAGAGCTGCATCTGCAGCATTCGACCACTTCATCGTTTGATACTGGTCAAGTTCAGACCATCGTCGTTGGAGGTCAGTTGCATAATCTGTGACAGATTGTGAATCTTGCTTAAGATTCGTTGTTTTGAGCCATAAGTCATAGACAAAAGCGCCATCTTTAGCAACAGAGTAGGACTGCTGTATGAAATCCCAGATTTCTTTAGCCGAGTCCATGTATAAACATGTACTGCTAATGTTGGGATCCATAGAGTCCCATAACCAGACCCGTACGTTGGCATTAGTTTTCTCCCAAATAGCAGCATCAATCTCTCCTTCTTCTGGGGTAGAGACAGTGAGATAATCTTCAAGATCTTTGCCACGTAGAAGAGTGTAAACCAGCTTTGACCACCCAAGATAGTTCCTGCCATTGAGACGGTAAGATGGCGGGATAGAAGGGAGATCAAATTTCTGATTTCGAAGAGCAAACGCGGCTGCAGTAGCAGCTGAAACATTGGTTGAGTGATCAAGGTTACTTGAGGCTGATTCGGCTTCTTTAGACATGATAAAACCCTTGATGAAGAGACTCCACCGGGAGTTAAAGAGAGAGAAGGGTAGAGACACCCAAAAAATGACCGTTGGAGAGGTGATAGACTGACTCAAAAAAGGCTTAGACGAAACCAAGCTCTGATACCATGAAGTTTACACTAATATTAATTAGCTTAGTAATTAGATCAATAATAACAAATCACAAGCAAATTCATACTATAAATAATGATTACAGTTTAAAAGTTTACAAATAATAATCAAATTCATATCAAGCAAAGCTGTAATTTAATCAATAACTTGAATTAAAAACACAATAAAATTAAGAAATTAAGAACATGCCTGATAAGCACTTAACAGTGACTTAGGCAGCACTAATATTAATTAGCTTAATAATTAGATCAATAATAACCATTCACAAGCAAATTCATACTATAAATAATGATTACAGTTTAAAAGTTTACAAATAATAATCAAATTCATATCAAGCAAAGCTGTAATTTAATCAATAATTTGAATTAAAAACACAATAAAATTAAAAAATTAAAAACATGCCTGATAAGCACTTAACAGTGACTTAGGCAGCAGTTCTCAGGAGTCAAGCCTCTGCTTACCACCGAAGAGCGGCTCTCACTTTCTCATAGTCTCAGTTTACCACCGAAGAGCAATTAGAGCAGTCGACCAGAAACTAAACAATCTAAACCGACAGTGCGCTGTCCGAGTGCTGAGCCTGAGCCGCTGTGTCCCGTCCGGCAACGACTGAAGATGGATGAGGGCTGCTGCGTGCTATATTGCTAGGCCGGGAATTGGGATTTGGCCTTTGGGGGTTTTGCTGAACTCGCCCAAGCGGACTGCTCGGCTGCTACCTCTTCACATGCGTCAGCTTCGAGTTGGATCTCTTGGATTTGGGATTTTCAGTTTTGGGCCATGTGCCAATTTTGGGCTTCGCTGGAGAGACGGGAGAGACATGTGCACTGCGGACTGCGGATGAATGACAGACCAAGACTGTTCTATATTAACATTTTTTTTAAAAATTAAGAGTGGGCCTGACTTTTGAACCTATATACTAGTTAAAAAATGAAAATTTGAGCATGGGCCTGGGCCTTTCCTGGCCCTAGGCCCAATCCGCCCCTGACCGCATACATGGAAAATGTTCATTAGATGACTAGGAGTTATGGTATTTGCTAAAATTGCCATCTTTGAATAGGAAAGAAGTTCTGATAACTTATCACACAAATATGCAATTTTATATTTTAAGGTACTGGAATGACAAAGATGTGCTGAAGAAGTTGGGCGAAGCAATGGGTTTCCCTGTTGGAGGAGAGGCAGCCACATCTGGTGAAACAGGGGCAGATGAAGCAGAAGAATCAAATGAAGATGAATCAATTGTTCATAACTGTGCAAGTGTCGGTGATGATGAGGTGAGGTTTTGGGTATTTATTTTTGTTTAACTCTGAATAAATCACATGTAAATCTCTAACCCTTTGCTTGGGAGGGAAGAAATAGTGTTGAAGTATTTGTTCCATGCTGGATTTGTGTAACATAATAAATCATTATATAAGTTAGGTTTGGTTGGAGCTTGATAATTTTTTTAACAATCATGATTAAGGGTAACTCATCAAGATATTTTTGGTTCCATTTATACACCTCAATGTTTTCCAACCCGGTTTGGTCTGAAAGCGTGTTGAAGTATTTATTCCACACGAGATTGGTATAGCATAATAAACCACTATATAAGTTCTTGAGCTACTCCTGTTAGGTTGACCTTTTTGGATATAAGTTCAAGTCTTAATAAATAGAAAAGAGAGAAAGATGTAGAATAGGAGAAAACTGTAAAAGATGAGAGAAATGAATGGACCAAATTTATTTATTTTTCCTCTCAAGGAAACTGGAGATATATGCATTTTTTCTACCCATTTCTTCTACATTTCTTTGCTACCAACAACATAGAAGATCTACCCTATTTCTTCACGATTCTCCTCTCTCTCTCTCTCTCTCTCTCTCTCTCTCTCTCCCAATTCTCTTGTCTGTATTTCTTGACTGAACCAAACAATGGCTAGAAGTTTTATGATTGTCTTCTCCTCAGTTCCGTGCTTTATTTTTCTTGATCCTGACCCAAATTCTGCGGTGGCTCTTTTCTTGTAAATCAAAGCTAGGTTCTGTGGATATAATGGTTTGTTTGTTTTCAGGGCTTGAGGAATGCTCTTGCTGCTGGTGCTGACAAAGATGAAGAAGATTCAGAGGGAAGGACAGGATTGCATTTTGCTTGTGGATATGGGGAGGTTAGTGAGTTCAAATCTTTATAATTTATGTCCATCTTTTGAAGTTTTAGTCAAACCTTTATGCATTTAGAAATTAGGAGTTCCATGTTCTCTTGTTATAACCTTCTTATAACAAATAAAATTGTAAAGTTGTCGTTTTCTTTTCATTGTTGCTGTTGAGCAATATCTCTGCGGGTCGTTTGCCTCGAACCTTGTCAATAGGTGTCACTCCTTGTGTAATACAAACAACAACATCCCAGCCTTATTCCCAAAAGACTTTGGGATCAGATAACATGAATGGACATATAATATCACAGTTAAATATAGTAGATAAGAGAAACAGGGGAGACAAAGCTCCTTGTTTTTAATAATGATAATAAATACGTAGAAATCACAAGACCAATGTGTAAATGTATTTGTGGCATTAGTGTAAATTGCAATTTGGAGTGGGCAAAATAGATAAGAAAACAGCTGTGTTCATTGGCCCCAAATGAAGACAGGGAACCATTTTTCTGTACTAACTTCTTAAAAAGATGAAACACTTGACATAATTATTATGCTTTGAAAAAATGGAGAAGGGGAATTTTGAAAAGGTGAGAAACTTAAAATGGGAAATGGAATTTTCTCATTCTACAAATATTGCCTTAATAACTTTGCTACTTTTAAAAATAATACAAGACCGATGTGACTGAATATAATAATGGAGGCTAAATTGAACGATTATCACGATTAAGGACCACGGTATTAAATTGCGGACCACAATACGTTTTGCGGTTTGCAGCACAACCACATCACCCTGGAATTACGGCGTTTTTTTAAATTCACGGCCAAAACCAATACATAACTGCACCGGGCTGCACCAGGCTGCATCGGGACCGCAACACTAACTTACTTTTTTTCTTATTTTGTTCGATTTTAAAATTATTGCACACTGCAACACAGCAGCCGCAAGACACAACCACAACCGCATCTGCAATTTAAAACACTATGATAAGGACCTTCTAATACTATAACCTTTGCGAAGGGCTTATTTTTGCAGTGGAGCTTTGTTGATTGTTTGCTTCTAAAAGTAGTCGAGAGAAAAGTAAAATAAGACTTCTGGAATCTGGATTAATTGAGAGGAAAACCCTCATCTTAAGAAATGAATTGGTGTCTCCGTGTCTGTGAAGTGTCTCTATATGGACCATTAAGCATATGGACTCAAATGTATCACTGCATGTATTTGGCGGTAAATAATCCAATGTCCAGAATTGGGAATGCTAATGATGTGTACTCAAATGGTAGAAAAGAAAGACAAAAATATAAAAAGGGTAGAAAAAAGCAGTCTCACGTTTGGTTATCTTTTGAAAATATGGTTAGAATAAAATGAGACCAAAAGTTTACATATGAATAAATAATATAGCTTGAAAACAATACTAGTATATAATGGGTTTATTGACTTTGATTCTTTATATTTTAATTTTTCCACCTTAAATTTTCTTTATTTAGAGCCTGTTAGCTTCAATTATTCGACAGAGGTTAATCTGTGCGCTTCATAATAAATACAAATACAGGTAAAGTGTGCACAAATTCTTCTTGAAGCTGGAGCGAAGGTGGATGCTTTAGACAAGAACAAGAACACTGCTCTTCATTATGCTGCTGGGTATGGTAGAAAGGAGTGTGTTTCTCTTTTGCTAGAGAATGGTGCTGCTGTGTAAGTCGTTTTCCTTCTCCATCCACATTCTTTCGCCATCATATATGTATATTCGTACAGTTTTTTTCTCCTTCTTTTCAATCTTTCACCTTTGGCTTTATCATGTCGTGACAGCACCCTTCAAAACATGGACGGGAAGACACCAATAGAGGTGGCCAAACTAAATAATCAGCAAGACGTCCTAAAGCTCCTTGAGAAGGATGCATTTCTATAAGCAAGATGGAGGACACCATTTAGTACAACGCACGCCGAGTTGTCATGTAGCTCTCTCTTTTGGGAATTTGTGGCGTATGATTAATATACTGTGGTTTGCATACTATCACATATATATCTTTATTATGACCCTTTTAATTTCGTGAGTGAATGTTGTGTGTGTATAATTAACAATATTGCCTCCATTCTTTTCTTAGATACGGAGTGCTATTGAGCAAAGAGGGGCAGCTATTGTATTTCAATAAATTTAATTCTACAAATGAACTAACAACCATAGTCCATAGGGTAATGAGATGCTCATTGATTCCAATAGGGTAATGATATGCTCGTTGATTCCAATGTATGGTTAATGAGGTTTTGGTTCAGGCCCAGCCTAATCAGGTTCTGCTTAGTGTTTTATTACTCCCCTCTTGATTCTCAGACCCAATATTTGTAATCAAATCAAAGGTGTTGGGTGTATTTTAGAAATGAGCAAAGGTAAGGTGATTTGGAGTTGGTGTTGTGGCTCACTTAGTTGGACACTCACTTCCAAGCATCCCTTTGTGGGAGGTCTAGGGTTTAAGCCTCATTAAGGTATATATGAGGAAGGTCTAGGGTTTAAACCTCATTAAGGTATATGAGGAAGGCCCAGCCTAATCAGTTTCTTTACATTCATGGTGTATCTTAGAGACAGAGTGGCTTATGAGGAAGAGGTGACAATGGAAGCTACGAGTTCATAGATTTTAGGATTACGAGAGCGCAAACCGATACTTGGATCTATGGATGGACTCGGGTCCGGGCCGGGTCCGGGTCGGGCCTAGGCCTGGGCGGGCCGGCGGGTCAGAAATGGAGGACCCGGGACCGGCCCGGGTAACCACCAGGTCCGGTCCGGGCCGGGCCGGGCCCATTATATATATATTTTTTTGTTTTCCTCTTCCTAATTAACCCCCCTCCCACCCCCAACCCCCAAACCACCCCAAATGGCCCAAAATACCCAGCCCAACCCAAAAATTTAAAAAAAATTGAAAAAAAAAATACTCTTTGGCCCGAACCGGGCCCGGGCCCGGCCGGGTCGGGCCTTGTTTTGGGTGACCCGAGCCCGGGCCGGAAAACCCACAGGCTGGGCCTACCCAGACTGATCACTGACCGGGCCACCGGGTTGGGCCGGGCCGGAACAGTACCGGTCTCGGGTCGGGCCACCCGGCCCGAGTCCATCCCTACTTGGATCATAAACAGGGTGCTATTATGGTCGTAAAGTTTTAATCTGTGGATCCAATCTTGACATTGAAGAATGAGAACAGTACAAAAATCAATTGGTTGTGATCCAGAATTCGTCTTTTTGAGTAGGCCCATATTCACTAATCATATACTCCCTCCGTCCCTCTAACTTTGTGCCATTTATCTTTTTCGTCCGTTCCATCAATTTTGTCACATATCATATTTGGTAATATTTGAATGGTTAGAATTCATTCTTAATTTATTCACACTTTATTAATTCAATATCAATCACACAATTCTATTTTTTCTTAAAAATCACACTACTACCTTTTTTTTTTCCAAACTTGGGAGGATGGAGGTAGTATCACATTTGTTTGTTCACCTGTATCAAGTCGCAACCCTGGGTGAAAAGGCCATATTTGTGCTTTTCACCTCAAAAAACATCTCCAACCCAAAATATATAAGGGTGCAAATTGGGTTGAGACACCTTTCGAAGGGGAATACATGGGCATATTGATGGAGGAGTGATATGCATTTGGCTGCGGCAAAATGATAGAATATGTGGAGATGTGTAAAAGTAAAACCCCATTTTTACTCCAATTTTATAAAATTTATATCAAATTTACAAATTTTTAGTAGCTACATCAATATCGAATATAATAAATTAAAAATAAAAATATGAAGATTCAACAATGAAGGTTTTTAGACCAAATTTTTTTCTTATATAGATTTAGGTGCTAAAATATAGATCTTATGGTTAAAATATTATTTATACATCTTTCAATTATTTTTTAAAAAGATGAGTCTAAAATCACAAATAAAAATTAAATTGCCAATTTATTTATTTTTACATCGAAATGTTTGACTTTTATTCATAATTGTTTCAGAAAAAAATGGAAAAATTAAATAAAAAACTTTGTTGGGTGAATATATTGACGGTACGGCCCTACGGGATTGTAGTGAAAAATGATTTGACTGAGTGAATATGTATAAACTAATAGAAAATTAGATTTATTGATGAGGTGAATTGTGGTTAGGTAAGTGTGACAAAATCACAGAGATTCCAAAATTTGAGAAAGCATGGACACCATCGACCACCCACAACTTTCTAAATATTTGTTCAAAGAATGAAATTGAGCTTTAATTTCAATCTTGCTGATAAAGTGTGGATGGCACGCCTATTACTTAAAGGAGTATTTATAGGGAGTACTATGAACAAACTCTAGGGTAGTTGATTGGAATTAAGGGCATGTTTGGTTTGAGGTAATCTTACATGGAGATCGGGATGTGATACACGGAATGTTAGATAACATTGTTTGGTTCACAAGTTTGAAAAAAAAACAAGAAAGTTACATTCCCGAGAATGTAATATGGAGGGGAATGTTAAACCAATCCAAGCCTCAGGTTATCTCACATTCTGAGGGATGATCTAATTTTCTTCCAAAAATACCCTCAATTAACAGCGCCGATCCTGACATTTTATGTGTTGACATTTTAAAAATGGTTCTTACTCAATTATGACATGCACTATTTAACCTCTTTCTCTAATTTTGTCCTCTTTTTTTCAATTATCCTATTCAGATTCAACCATTTTTATTAAACCTTGAAATTAATTAAATCTATCAATTTAATTATAATTGAAAATTTTCATCCGAAAAAATCAACAAATTATAACACCAACACTCAATAGATAACAATCAACAAATAAAAAGTCAAACAATCAATTATGAATGAAAATAATTATTAAAATAATCAAATAATCATATGAGACTAATCTACTTCCAATTCAAAATGTTTTTATGAAATTTTATGAACATTTTTTTCATCAATTTTAGATTATGTCCATAAAATTTCAGCTTAAAATTCAATCACTAAATCATAGAAATAGATTATTGAAAAACATTGCGCCAAAAATTATTGGGAAAAGTACGTAAAAGGTACTTGTGGTTGAGCCTGTTTTCAGATAGGGTCATGTGTTTCATTCTTTATCAAAGTGGTTCATGTGTTTGAATTCCGTTATCACAAGAGGGTCATGTCGTTAAAAACGTCTGAAAAGACCGTTAAAAGTAACTCCGATTTTCAAAAGTGCCCGCAAAATTAAAAGAAAATACCGGAAGGTGCACCTCAATAAGACGACCGCTAGGTCATCTTTCTTTTTTGTTTTCAGCCACCCTTGTCACCGGAAAGTCCATCAGAAAAGTGATATTAGCGAAATCATTTTTAAAAAATAATTCAAACTGATCTGAAAAATCCAAAGACGAAGGTGGTTTGGAGGTCATCTTGACGAGGCGCACCTTTCGGTATTTTTCTTTTAATTTTTCGGGCACTTTTGAAAATCAGAGTTACTTTTAACGGTCTTTTTCAGAAGTTTTAAACGACATGACCCTCTAGTGATAACGGAATTCAAACACATGAACTACTTTGATAAAGAATGAAACACATGACCCTATCTGAAAACGGGCACAAACACAAGTACGTACCTTTTCTGTACTTTTCCCAAAATTATTTAACTGATTATACAATGAATTTTAACCTAAATTTATTGGACATAATTTACACTTTATAAAGAACATGTTCAGAAATTTTCATAAAAAAATTCATTTGGAAGCACCTAAAAAAAATTCACCCAAAAAATTATTAGTTTATGGCTGAAAACTCATCCTACTCACACCTATTATAAAAAAGGACCTAAATAATACCAAAGTTTTGTTATTTCTTTAAATATATGGTGCACATTATTCCGAAGATTATTCTACACAAAAAACTTTAGATTTTGCTTCAGTTTATTTTTTCCTTTACATTAAATCAATATCATTTTTTATTTTATAAAAATAAGCAGAAGAAGCGTTATTTAACATTTTATCCCAGAGGTTTTAGATGATAATTGATTTTTTGTTAAGTAAGCAACAGATTAAAATAAAAGTAGTGTTTTTATTTTTACTTGACCATTTCTTATACTCCGTATTAATGTACTAGTAGTGTCGATCTAGTAGTTATACAAAATTATATTTTCATTTCCATTTTCTTTAGCTTCCCAATTTGTTAATGAATAATTTTAGGTGTTTTTATGATATCCGGAGTATTCATTTTAGAATTTGATATTGTTTTTATTACAATTTGATATTGGTAATAAGGGCATACTTTCCCTTCACTGAAAAAAAAAAACTAGAAGTACTTTTTCACTGAAAAACATTATGCAGTTATGTGTACTTATTGATCTACACTTACATTTGCATAAATTTCCTTCATATTTTAATATGAATGTAAGTCAGGGAAGGTGGTCTCTTCCTTCCTTCCTTGGGGTTTTAACTTGTTTGGATTTCACTGTTGTACTGTATTTGCTATTTCTAGGCTTGTCTTCTGAAGTGCATTTTGAGTATTGACAGTAAAAATTTTGGCAGTTCAACGCTACAGTGATATGATGATATCTTCCTATAAATGAAGGTATAAGATTTTGTAAATTTTAGTTTTTTACTGCCTTAGATTCGAGTGTCTTCTCATGCATCCTCGTGAGTTGTAAGAATTCCGTTTTTGGTGGTTATGGTTTCTTCTTCTTTTCAACCTAACACCAATTCATTTTTCACATTGAACAAGTAAACAAGAGTTATGGACTTGTGGTATGTTTGGTTTCTGAAACACTGAAAATATTATTCAATTCGAATGAAGAGTTACGTATGATGAAGTAATTATATTTTAAATATATTATGTATTTTATTAATAAAATAAAGAAAAATATGTTGAGAAATAGTTACACTGGTTTTCAACAACCGATTCAACTAGAAAAGTAACTTTAGCCATATTTATTTTGATTATTACACAATTCAGCGCAAGAAAATCAAAACATATATATGTTCGGTGAAAAAGTTGACATATATAAGGTTACGTTGATAAGATAAAATAGGGATTACCAAACGAATTCTACTTGCATGGATTAGGCCTATATACAAAAACGTGAATGATGCATACGTGACATGAGAGAGATATATAAAAAATCATAAGTAGAGTATTTATCTCCTTATTTGAGTGGTCTTATATGTTTTTGGTAAGTTTTTCTTCACAATATCAAGTACAATGTCTAGGTCTAGACATTGTGGTTGACATTATTGATTTTTTTATATAAAAAACACATAAGAATGTGAAAAGGAGAAAAAATGCCACAAGTCATTTATTCTTTTGTGTCTATCTCTCTCATTTCATATATGTACCATGCACATTATAACATTGAAAATGCTTTAATACTCCACACCAGCTCGCTACCCCCACTGTAGTTGTATTGTTTGATGTCTTTCCTTAACTATTTACGAAGCAGACCATATGGATCAAAATGTGATAAAAAATATAACTCTCCATGTTCCAATATTATCTTTTAACTTGACATACAAATTAAGAAAATGAGAAATGTGTGACCTAAAGTTGTATAGAGGAGAGAGAAAGTGAAGTCAAATGTGGTAAATCATACATTCTTTGTCAAAAAGAAAAAGAAGAGTTTGTATTGGGAACAAATAAAAAAAGAATGAATGAAGATAATATTGGGACGACGGGAGTACTACTATACATATGAAGATATCCTCATAGTCACTTATTATACAATTTGAATTGAACACAAGATGATAATTAAAGTCACTATTATAGTCACTAAATGATCGATAAAAAAATTACATTTCTATCGACAACCTTTATTTAATTAGTCATATATTTATCATTATTTCTATATTTAGTTTGAACTTTTACATAACAAAAATTCTAGAAATTCTTAGACCGAGAAGAAGAAGTTTGTTAACAATAATAACTAACAAGAAAGCTAATCTGTTATGAAAACCAAAAGCACACTCTTTATTAATGAACGTTTACTATTTATAGAAGAGTACATTGGGCCTTATTAACAAAGACTTAAACTGGGCTACAACTAATGGGCTGAGATCTCATTCTTCAATACACCCCCTTGAATCTCAGCACATGAAACAATATTCAATCCCTTTCTTAACTCCAAGAAAGTTTGAATCTTCAATGGTTTGATCAATATATCTGCTAGCTGCTCATAAGTTCTGCAATGCTTCAGTTTTATCTTCCCTCTATTCACTTGATTTCTAAGGAAATGAAATCGTGTTTCCATGTGCTTGCTTCTGGCATGAGCCACAAGATTTTTGGCCAGCTGATAGCTGAGTTATTATCAATTCTCAACACTGGAATGTTGTTCACTCTGACTTGCATTTCCACCAACAAATTTTGCAACCACACTGCCTCACATGCTGCATAGGCACCTGCAATGTATTCCGCTTCACACGAAGACAATGCCACCACTGGTTGCTTCTTTGAACACCAGGAAATTGGTGCCCTTCCCAACATATATACATATCCAGTGGTGCTTCTTCTATCAACTATGTCTCCAGCCCAATCTGAGTCAGCATATCCATTCAACATTTCCTCATTTACTTGTACTGAATTAGGCAATAGAATGCCATAATCTAGTGTTCCCTTAATGTATCTCAGTATCCTTTTTGCTGCAGCCATATGTGAGATTTTTGGACTCTCCATAAATCTACTAATCAGTCCAACACTGTAGGTAATGTCAGGTCTACTTGA